TGGCTCTCACACCTCACAACCTCCAAGACAGCATCTCCCTCACACAACACAACACCCACAACTCAGAAATGGCTAGACTTTCACCCACCTAAGGCTAGAGCCCACTCTTATAAGCAACTTTGGAGAATGAACTAAGTGGAAAAGAGCTCTCTTGGAGCTTCAATGGAGGAGAGAAGATGGGAGAAGAGTGGCTGGTCACAAAACTCAGAAAACTCACATAGAAGAGAGGGAGGCTAACCTAGGATCATGTGCCCAAGGGTATTTATAGGCACGCTTAAGTTAATCGCGCAGTATTAGCGTTAATAGATACACTTATCATTTTAATCTCAAACTTCATATTCTGAACCTAGCCATTTTTCTAGGATTTTTCATATTTTTATATTAATTTTTCGCAACACTTTTTCGGTACGCGTTTTGACACTGACAATATTAGTTCAGGCATCAATTCTCATTATTTTGACCTGAAACTTGTTTTACAAGTCCTATATAACATTCTAGGAATATACATGCACTTATTATAATTTTTTAGGATACTTCATCGGTACGCATTTATACCGAGTAGCAGAACCGGTATCTGCACTTTTCGTCAGAAAAACGACTTTCAGCATTATTACTCACTTACTATAATTATTAAAGCCTCATAATAATTATTAGGGACAATTATGGAGTTTTTTTCTAATTTCCTTAATTAATTAATTAACTTCCTTAATTAACGGTGCGGGTTCTTACACCCTCTGTGCCAGCTGTTTTCATTGGTGGCAAGTGTATGGGTTCAGCGAACCCAGTGATGACCCTTCACCTCAATGGCTCATTAAAGAAAATGCTCAGAGATGCTGGAGCACTTTGGCTTTAGAAACCAAGGGCAAACAACAACAATTCGGGGGAAGAGCAACCACAGACGAAGGAGAAGAACGCTCTCAAGACGAAAAGAACAAGGCAGCAAAGGGAAGAAGCTATCTGCTCGACGAGTTTGGGAATCGGATAGTTGTTGTTCTGTTGTTGAAGACGTTCAATCTTAGAAAACAATTTTTTTTTAATTTTTAGACCAAAACGACGTAGTTTTACTTAGCTGGAGATAAACTTATATACCGTGGCTGTAGAAATATTTTTCCTATATTTTATATATATATATATATATATATATATATATATATATATATATATATAATATAATATATAAGAGAATTGCATACTCCTTTTTGTTCTTTCATTTGTTATTAAGAACTTTCAATAAGTTTTGATATATAAAATATGATTAATTTATACTATTTTATATGAAGTTAAATCAGTAAAATGGATCAGTTTATAATTTCTAATATATAAAAACTTATTTTGATAATTAATTTATATTTTTTCAATATAAATGTTGGGATTATAGACCCTAACAACTTGTATGTGATCGCATGATTAATTGTCTGATTGTATTTAATAGCTTGTCTCGTTGGCATCAACATATAATCCCATATATTCATTCATTGAATAACCATGAAACTTTACATGGTGAAATAGATAAAACTTAGGGGAAAATATGGAGGTGGGATGGCCCTGAGAGGATTCGGCCTTTCTTCTAGCTTCAGGGAGACTCCCTAGCGGCGAAGGACATCATCAAGAAAGGTTGCGATGAGAAACATCCCATGTCAAATATGATACTGCATATTATGACAATGCTTCGAAGACCATGGCAGGTTCAGGTATCAAAATCCTATGGTGTGTTGGGTCAAGTCGGATCCTCAAGTTAATTGCAGAAGCAAAACAATAAAATGTAAGAGGAGAGAGATGAAAAAGAACACTAGTCCTGAATCAAACTTCCACTATAAGAATAATAGGTTACAACAATCAAACATATCTAGTCTTTCACTAGAGATACAATCAAACAACACCTACAATGGTGGTAATATCAAACTTCTCTCTAGAGGTATTTTTCATCTCATCTCTCATATCTCTAAACCTCACACACTATAAGCTTATATAGGGAGGGAAATGATTCTAGACATTGAATCACTCAAGAGGATGTGTCCCTTGAGCTTTGCACCTTCATTTATGGAGAGACATTGAACCGCTCAAAAGTTATGACCCTTGAGCCTTGCACAAAAAATGAAGAGCTCCAAACCTTTTGGGACTTGAACCAAGCATTGAAGTAGGAAAAACTCCCAACATGGAGAGGGTAACCAGGTGGCGGATTGACTAGCATCTCATGCGTACCAATATGACTGGCAAGTTCAGGAGTTTGAAAATCCACAGGATGACTGTATCGCTCTGGTTTAGAATGACTTGGTGGGAGTAGAGTAGCTCTCCTCAGGATATGCTGTGTGTAGTGATTCTTGATATGTGTCCAGCATATGATGCTTTCTAAGTTAAAAGAAGCAAGAAATATTGATTATTCCTTCGCAATCATCCTCTCACTCAATTTATGTGTTTTCATAACAGGAAAACGTCAAGAAAGGAAGAAATGAGAGAAGTGAAAAGTTCCCAGCTGGTGCACTTTGCGCGGAACTTGGCGCAAAGTGCGCCATTTTATCTGGTCGCCCCTGTTTCTCTGGCGCATTGTGCGCGGATGTTGGCGCATTGTGCACGGTTCTGGCGCACTTTTCACGGGACATGGCGCAAAGTGCACCATTGGCAGCCTCATCTGCTGTTTTCCCAAGCACTTTGCGCCAGACCTGGCGCAAAGTGCGTGGGCGATATGTTTTTGACTCCAATTTGATGCGAATTACCCAAAAGGAGGCCCAATTGGAGAGCAAGTGAAATTAGGTTTTCCCATAACCTAATAAAAAGATCAGAAACAGAGGAAGGAGACACTTTTTTTTGACAACTAAGAAGAGAAAAACAACAAAGAGAGTGAGAATTCCTTGGAACTTCTGGGAGATTCAAGGATTCGATCATCAAGACGGAAGAGCTTCATCTTCCTTTTCTCTTTTAGGTTCTGAATGCTATTTTCTTTTATTGTTATTTTGTCAGACATGAATATGTCTGGCTAGTTTTATCATTGTGGTAAGGGTCACAACCCTTGATGTGAACCCCTTGTAATTTGGTTGAAATTTATGTTTAACTATTTTAATTGAATTTATCTTTTCCTGTTCTTCATTCTATAATTCTATTGGAACTGATCAATCTAGTAGGATTGCGAGGGTTAGAGTTTTCAATAAGGATGTTGGAATTCTAGTTCCTGACAAAAAATAAGATAACTATTCATGTACGCACTAGAGATAGGCTACATGAACCGCAAACGTTAAAGATTCATTGATTCTAAGGGTTAACTTGAAAAAGGATTTCTAAGGAATTAAGATTCTAATAGAGTTAATAAGGTTAAAGTCACTAAGTGATTAGGGTTTAACTAATCATATAAAAGATGATGAATCGTTTAATCAATTGAATAAGTAAACGTAAACGTAATCCAAGTTGCAAGGTGTGGATCGAAAATGTGTTTGTTTCACTTTACCGCAATATTTTCTCAAATATTTTCTCCATCTTTAATCTTTTGTTCTTGCATTCTAAAAGAACTTTTGGAATCATTTACATTTTCTTTAATTGTTTTAGTTTATTTCATAAACCACAATTATTCTCAACCTATTTTGATTAATCCAACAAGAGAGAAATAATTATAACAACTTAGGTGCCTCAATCCTCGTGGAGACGATACTCTATTCATTGTTTATTACTTGATATGATCGGTGCACTTGTCGATTTTATGCAACAATTCTCTTGTAGCTGTTTTTATCTGTCATAACGTATTCAAAAAAAATAAAAAAAAATTGCACACAATTAACTATTATGAATTCTGACCTAATAATAAGCGCTTAATACTAACACTTCATTCTAGAAATAGATCGTGAATATGAGCCACCAAAAAAATAATAATAATAATTTGGGGAGGAGATTATTGGAGTTATAGGCCCAATGTACAACACAATTTCCGCCGACAGTTTAATGTGAAGCAACGAAATGGATAAAAAAAATTAAATTGTGCTTGACTTATTAGATTCTAATAATAGATACTTTTTAAGCAAATATCTAGATATATATCTTCAAGAGAAAGCGACATTTCACTTTAATGAGGATATTTTACACGCTAAAAGAATATTTAGCTTTCTCACTACCAAGTTTCATACTAAAAATATTGTCCTGTTTAAAATTTATTTTTCTGAAAATAAAAAAAAATATTTGATAAGTGTTATTTTATTAAAAAAATTTAAAAATTATAACTACTTTTTATTTTAACTTTCTAAAGATATATAAAAAATACCTATTTTACTAATTATTCTATGAAATAATTTTTTTTTAAAAAAATCAGACATATTGATTTTGTTCTTTTGTTTTTATATAAAAATTTAAGTATAAAGTTAAAAATTGATAACCTATCAGAACTAAGACAGACCTTGCAACCTCTCTAAAATTTTTTTTGGAAACCATTACTATTGTAAAAACAGTGATACGTTGAATACAGGTAAAGTTTAATGCTTTCCTTTCATTGATATTATATACATAAAGTTGGGAGTTCAAATCTAGGATCGAAACAAACTAATCATTTATCGTTAGGAACACTAAAGCTATCTATACAAAGATAAAGGGAACAAACTCATCTCTATCTTTAAAAGAGAAGTAACAACTACACAATTATTAAGGGATTTGATCCAATCTAATTTAACAACTATTAACAAGATCCTCGTATCGAGGCAAAGGATTCGAACTCATACAGTACAAGTCCGTGAGCGTAAACCTTAGGCAAAATATTGTCTTTAGCATTAATCTCTACAATCCTTTTGTATGTTATTTAGATTGTTCTGATGTCTGGCTCGATCAGTGATGACTTGGATAAATAATAAAGGATTTTTTATAAGACTCTACATTGGACGGACCCCAAAAATTATATAAAGACGATCTTATTGAAGTATTATGATGTAATTAAATAACATTTCCATTTTCAGATCAGCCCAGCATGGCGAGCAATGGAAGAAATTGTTACATAAAAAATAAAATTCACAACGAACTTTTGGATGACATAGACTATAACCCAATGAGTAGAAATATATAATAATGCAGAAAAGACTCGATTACCATACCAACAAACACATCAAAGATACATCTCAAGTATTTCAAAACCTACACATTACTGCAAAAAGCATATAAAGTTTGGCACATCTAAGTGCCTTCAATTACATAATTATTTATTTTTGAAAGGTGGAGCAGACATCAAAGAAAAGACAGTTACTTCACAATGGCTATTACGCCTCCAATCTACTCAATGCCCATCTTCTTCCTTACCTCCAAAATGAACTCATAGACCTTATGCTGGTCAGGAAGAGACTTGGAAACACTCTCTTTCTGCATGCACCTCTTGACCCAAGCAATAAACTTGGGGCACTCACTCTCTGTCTTGAAGTTGCCAAAAGTCTCATAAGCTTTAAACCAAGAGTAGAATGGAACAAGTGCTAAATCCACAAAGCCAATCTTGTCTCCACCAAAATAAGTCTTGTCTCCAAGCTGTTCCTCCAACAATTTAATGGCATCTATGAAGTCCTTCCTAGCAGCTTCTTGTTCTTCTCCTTTTGTTGTCCAAAGCTGCTTTCCAATTTCATATATCTATTTGACATTTGAGTTGTGAATTAACACTCTAATTAGATCATAAAATGTAAGAATCAGAAAGGGGAAGAACCACCAAGAACCAACACTGACTAATATCTATAAAAGATATACAAAAAAGGGATGTTAAAGATAATCCAAACACTTTTTATTGTAAAACATAACAGCCACTTATTATTTTATTTTTTTGGATCGATACGTATATCCTCCAAGGGAGGCTCCCTGTTCAAGCCGGAAACATTGGCAAACTTCAACTCAACTTTATTTGAACCAACTCCTTTGGTACACTTTAATCACACATAAACAAGATCTTTAGGCAGATGAATAGGAAAAAAAAAATTCAAAGAACAAAACTTTCAAATAGGGAAAGTTGTTCAACTAATGAACTAAGATAGGTTGTGGAGAATCTTGAAAGAAAATGTGCCTAATAAAAGTAGCTATTCCTATTTCTTCATGGGGACCATTTTCCTTTCATATGCATCTTACATACCAGATTACAACCAAAAGGGTCAGAAATAATAGCAGGCGCGCAGCAACATGTATATAACCCAATTACATCATTATATACTAAAAACATATCTATAGAAGCAAAGATATAGAAATTAGAAGCAAAACACAAAAGGGTACCTTCTTGTCAACAAAATCAGCCCAGAATCTAGCCTGTGCTCTCTGGTAAGGATCAGAAGGCAAGAAAGGAGATCTATCATTCCAGACCTCATCAATGTACTGAACAGCAATGAGAGACTCACAAATGGGCTTGCCATTGTGGATAAGAACCGGGATTTTCTTGTGAACCGGGTTCATTTGGAGTAGCAGAGGGCTCTTGTTCCACAAGTCCTCTTCTTTGTACTCGTACTTGATGCCCTTTTCAGCAAGTGCAATCCTAATCCTCATCCCAAAAGGACTTGGCCAGAAATCTAGCAGAACCACCTCATTCGCCATCTTTGAGTTAAATGATGATACACAAAAAATATGAAAAAAAAACCCACCAAAACTCGAAGAATGATTTGTAGTGACAAGAACAGGCTTCAGGCGTGTTAATTTATAGAGTGACTTTGGAATGAATACACGTGGACTCTAGAATGTGTTCGCAACCGCATAGGCGTAATCTTCTAGGTTTGCTCTAGATTATTGTACATTTATTTATTTATATTTTTTTTTTATAAAAATTGTACATTTATTTTTACTACTACTATGTTGTAGCATATTCTAGGATTTTTTTCTTTTCTTTCGGCCTGTGTGTGTGTTTTTTTTTTCTTTTGATAAGTTCTAGGACCTTCCAAATGGAATTAGAGTCTTTAACGTGTCAACTGTCAAGGCAGGCTTATGTTAAATCAGCATCAGCAAAGGTATTTTGTTTCTTCTACCCTTTTATGGATTCCAATCTATTATCCAATTCAATTTTTAAGTGTGATGTACTCCCTTGCATCATCGTGCCAAATTCATACCATTAATGTTACTAGAATGAAAATTGATACTCCTTTTATTTTACTCATTCTTTATTTAGGGAAAGAGTTTTAAAAATTAAATTAGTTCGGCAGGCTGAATTTGTGGTAGGATTTATCGGATTTATACGAAAGCAATTTAGGACCTAGTATATTGGCATGCTTACCGATTATCTTTGTTAGACAATTATCTCTTGGTGTGCAGATCTCGTGTAGAATCTTCCCTTGTATAATTCATCTTCACGAACTGCTCACCTCAGCGCCGCAGCACGAACTACCTCTTTGTAGCTAGACTGTGTCAGATCTTTTAGACTATGTCTCAAGGAGAAATGGCAAGTGTGTAGGCACTCTCTCACTTTCAGGGAGATGACCTTACCTCAGCCTCTGCAAGCACCAAGTAAAGACTAGAGAGGCTGATGACTTAAGTGTAGAATATATATGGATTCCAAGAAACCCTAACCCTAAGCAAATGAGCTTTAGGCTTCTTGGGCTCTTCTTACACACTAGGCCCTATTGGGCTTCGGTGAAAGAAAAAAATCCAACAATCTACCACTTGCTCTTGAGTACAAACTTGAGCCCAAAGCCCTAGTCCATGTATCCCACTAGTCGTCATCAACTGAAATTGCCTCGTCCTTTATCGTGAGCTAGCCTGGTGATCTACCATATGTTATCAATCAAGGCTCTTGATAATCAACGAATGATTATCTAATTCGGTGCTACTCCACTAAAAGCCCGAACTTGAACTCCAAGATTAATAACACTTATAATACGAATATGCATCGCCCCTTTGTAGAATATCTATAATTGATTGACAAGTTTTTTGTAACTCAATGAATTATTTATTCCCTTGACTATGATAGTTTCTCTAATGGATTACATGCACTGGCCAGTGTCTTCAATATACAGGTACCAAAACATATATCCTACAAATTCCATGTTGTTTATCTCATAAATACCGAAAATCAAATAATCTCACTCCCAAAATACCGAGTTATTGGCCGTCAATAGATCGAACCTCACCCGTTGGTAAATCAAAGAATGAAAACTATTTGATTACTTATTTATAATAAACTCAAGATTAAAAGCAATTACATAACTATAGTTAACTGTTGATTTGATGCCTTATGACAGAAAAACAACATTAATCAAATCTCTCCTTGATCCTTTCAATGTGAAGGTTAATTCACACCAATATTTTACAATGATTTGGGCAAAACCATTTCATAAAATATTGCAGCCTAAATAAAGTGTCAAACTTTATTTAACAGCTGTGAATCTATTTATCAATTATGAGAACCTATGATTATATCCTCCATGAACGTATCCATATGATCATATACTCCACAATTGATCCGGACCTTGATGTTTGTAAATAGTGCGCAAAATAAATAAATAAAACCTCATTTGTAAAATTCAAAAAATGATTACATTGGTTCATTGTCTTACTCAAGAGCACAACGAACCCAATATCTCTCACTCGTTTAATGCAAGTCTGGGATTCACCTAAGACCCAAAGAAGTAACATATCTCGCGAACACAAGTTCAGGCAAACTCTTAGTAACTGGGTCTATAAGATCCACCTCCAATGCTATCTGAGTTTAATGAAAAAAAATGATAGCTTGAGGTTGATTTCTTGAGTCAATATCCACTTGAAATAACTGAATTTGTAAAAATTCAGTTTTTCAAGAATCCCACTAGAATATACATTATATAATCTCTCGTTCTCCAAAGATACTTGAGTATATGCTTAACAATAATCTAGTGTTCCTCTAGGTTCAGAATAGTACCGTCTCACTACTCCCACTGCATAACAGATGTCTGGTTTAACACCCAACATTATATGCATGAGACTACCTTTTGCCAAAGCATAAGGTATCATGCTCATGCATTCTTCCTTCTCAGGAGTCTTTGGTTACTCCTTAGGAAGATGAATTTCACATCTGAGAATTATAATTCTTCTCTTTGAATTCTTATGTTGAATTTTGGCAAGAGTTTGGTCAATGTAAGTAGCCTGAGGTGATGCCAACAACTTATTCTTCCGGTCTCATAAGAGTTTTATACCAAGAATATAATTGCTTCCCCAGTACTTCCATACCAAAACACTAACTTAGCCAACTTTTTATGCTTGATATTTCCTCCACGTTGTTTCCAATAAAAAGCATATCATCTACATAAAGTACCAGGAAAAACTATTGTCTTCCATTGGATCCTTTTCATACAAATACACATCATTCATCAAGGTTCTCTCAAAATCAAAATTTTGATAACCTAATCAAAAAATGATGTTCCAAGACCTGGATGCTTGCTTAAGTCCATGAAATAGACTTTCACAACTTGCATACCATGTGTTTCTGCCCATTTGCTATAAACCCTTTTGGTTTTTGTATGCAGATATCCTGACGTCCAACTCCCAAAATTAAATCTCATAATTTAGACTTATAGCAGCAACTAAAAAATCTGGATAGACTCAAACATGGCGTCTGGCAAAAATTACCTCCAAGCTGGCTTTGAAGGTTTTCACCTCCTTGTCCATCCTCTCTTTGCCTTTTATGTCCATATGCACCTAGTGGATTTTACCCCTCTTGGTGCCTTTACTAGGGCTGAACGGAGTTGAAATACAAGTATTCCATCTATTGTTCATAGCTTGAGCAACACTTGATCAACAACATCTTCTAGTGTATTATCGTAATTAGTAGGATCAATGTCACTCAACAAGAGACAACTTGAGAGTTAACAAGGTTCTCTCCCACTACGAATGTACCATACTAGACCTTGTGTATTTATAGATAGATCAAAGATTGGGTCAAATGATGGATCTTCAATTTCTTGAGGATCCACTTATTCTTGATATTATTCTTCCATATGTGATACTAATATTTTTACTAGTTTCATTTACATATTATCATGTTGAATTTCCAATTATTGTTTCCTTGTTTGTTCACCTAGAGATATATATTTCCCCTCTTGAACAATCAAGGGAACAGTGGATGAAGCTTCTAGAGATTCTGGAAATTCTTGATCTGAGAGGAATCTCATCAAGAATAACCTTACTTAAGAGCTTATAATTTCTCATCTAGTCGTCCTTTAAGAAAATCATGTGAGTGCTCACTTAGATTATCTTGTCCTTAAGACTAAATAAGAAATCATCCTTGGTTCTCTTAGGGTAGCCAAAAGATATGCACTCTTCCGTACGAGATTCCATCTTATTTGACTGCTATTGTAGGACGTGTGCCATAACACCTTAAATCTGAATATGGTTTGATCTGGGCTTGCACTCTTTCCATAATTCTTTAAGTTTCTTTTCAACAAACTTTGACAGAACCAAGTTAAGAAGGTACATCTCTTTCTCTTAGGCATCTCCCTATAACAACATTAGCAAAGATGAATAACTGAACATGGTCTTCACCAAGTCTAGAAATGTTTGATTATTGCATACTGCAACTTCATTCAACTAACACGTTCCTAGAGTTGACAGTTATGAAAATTATCCTCTATTAAATCAGGTAAAACCTGAACTTACCAAACAGGTAGCCAACACTTTCGTTAGACCAAAGTGTTTTTATTTGAACACCTAGATGCTTTTCTACCTCAAACTTAAACTTCTTGGAAATTTCCAAAAGCTTTAGACTTATGGCGCACTAGGTTCATCTGTCCAAATCCAGAGTAAACATTCACATAATGAAGTACTCATCACCTCTTCTGGCTTGAACGCTAATTGGTCCACATACATTAGTATGTACCAGTTTCAGCCAAATTCTTTTGATCTTGTAGGATTGCTTGGCCATTTTACCTTCCAAATAGGACCAACATGTAGCTTTTAGTTAAAATATTCTTGAACTTTCAATCTATCTTTTTTAACTAAACCATGTTTCCTATTTGAGGTAATCTGACACTCAATCATAAAGGCCAAAAATATGTTTCATTTAAAACTTTTATTTCTTTGGTGAATGTTCTTGTTCATCATCCTTTCCATTCAACAAAATAAAATTAGAGGGGGAGGGTATAGGACATAGGTAATAAAGACTATTTAAACAATGTACCAGAACAAACAAGACGAAGATGAACTTCGAAACGTAACTGAGGAATCAATTGCATTGTCAAACCATGTTTTAACCAAAACAACTAACAATAATTGAATTCCGCTTGAAATTCGGAACAAATAAACAGTCACCCAAAACCATAGTCTTTTAAATAACTTGTCGTACTGCAAATGCAGACACAAGTTCCCATTTTTTAAGCTTAAAAATATCTTTGTCCACTGCTGACAGGCATGCCATGTTTGAACTACTGCAAAGAGTAACAAACATAATCAGTGGTTTTTGAATCAATGATTCATTCACTAATCATGCCTTAATATACCCATGTCTGGTTCTTTTCATCACATGTGGGCAATTTTTCTTTCAGTGTCCCTCTAGTCTGCACTTGAAGCACTTGCCTTGCGGCTTCTTCATAGCAACTGGTTTGACAACTGATAACCAAGTTATTTTGTTCTTGTTACTACCCTTGGATTTTTCCTTAGATTTAACAAGACTTTTAGCAAAACCTGCGCTGACTGCATTCTGTCTAGAAGATCTGCT